CCTTAATTTTTAGAGAATGAAAGTTTTTTGATTGATTTTCTATGTTGGGGGTCAGTTGTCATCAAAGGAGATCTGTGTTGGTGTTCCTAGCTTGCTAGTTTTCTGAGTCCCTTTGAAAATGTTCAACTGTGTTTTGGAGTCTCCCAGATTTGCAGATTCTCATTCCAATTTATTTTTTTCTTACAATGTCTCCTATTTTGGATTTTATACAAAAAAAGAGGATAGGGCTTCTTTCATTTTAGGTTTCTATTCAACAGCATTCAATAATTTCTCTTCCTCTGAGGAGCTAATAGATGAATCACTATAGGTCTACTCCCTTAGATGGTAAGTGGATAATAAAATAATACAACTAAAAATTCCTGAACAAACTTTTTATGTCTCCTTGTGGCTTTGGAATATGCTTTATGTGGTTCTTAGCTCAGGTCTAGGGCATAACTTAAATTAAATTTGCAAAGATTACTATCTATACTAACAGTATTAAATAGGTATTAAATCATTAAATTGGTAGTTTTCTTGGGAGAGATCTTGAGGGAAAAGCAATTTGAATAGGAATTTGGGGAAGCGAGGTGAGGGAACAGGACAGTAGGTGATAATGTCAAAATAGGGTAATGAATGTTAGAGGCACAAGGAGATACATTTCAGATTGATTTACTTTCGTTGGATTTTTCCAAAAAATCTTTAAGAGATGCAATTTTTGTATCAGAATATTGTTCTGAAAACCCTGAACTTTTGTTCTAAAGTCTGATCCTTTCATATTTGGTACTTCTGTTCTCAAGCTCTTTTTAGCTACATCATCTTTGGCATGTCAAAAGTTCTCTCTGATGGCAATTGCTATTTTAAATCATCTTTAGTGAAGTTTTGGTGGTTATTGAGGTAAACTAAAAATGGGGATTACAGTGAAAATCTATTTAGCAGTAATTCTGTCAGGTGTGTTTTAGATGCAGAGAGACCAATTTTAAGACAGTCATTTCAAACAGGGTCTGTAAGTTTTGTGAAACGGTACCTCTGTCTTTTGATTATTTTTCTCAACACTGTATAGTTAATAGCCCAAAAACAATTAGCCTTAGACTGTCCAAACATGATAGGGAGGTTTTCTATGTTAAAAGTGATATTGATTTTAAAGACAAAGACTCTCCTCCTGAGGGTTTTTTAGAGCTCAGGGTAACCATTGTTGCTTCAGTGAAAAAACAGCCTAATGGGACCCTCTTATATATTTTTCTTTAAGGCTGGGCTAGACAATGTCTTATAGAATCTGTATACTGCCTGAGTTCTTTGAAGGTTGTTTTAAAACACTCAATACAGGATCAAACGTCATAAACAACAGAAAGAACAAATGATTCCATAACCTGATTAATAAAAGAAAAAATATCAGCATATAAAGTTCACCCACCTCCTTGCTTTTTTTCTAGTTCAGCATTTTTTAATTTTTTTGAGATGGAGTCTTACTCTGTTGCCCAGCCTGGAGTGCAGTGGCTGGAGTGCAATGGTGCCATCTCGGCTCACTGCAACCTCCGCCTCCCAGGTTCAAGTGATTCTCCTGCCTCAGCCTCCCAAGTACCTGAGATTACAGGCATCCGCCACCACACCCAGCTAATTTTTGTATTTTTAATGGAGATGGGGTTTTGCCGTTTTGGTCAGGCTGGTCTCAAACTCCTGACCTCAGGTGATCCACCCGCCTCGGCCTCCCAAAGTGCTGGGATTACAGGCGTGAGCCACCACGCCTGGTCTAGTTCAGCATTTTGGATTCCCACTAGAGATGGGGCTTGACCACACATAAGGCTCAGGGAATACGCAGTACTGTTGTAGAGTATGAAAGTTCTAATAAACAAAATCAACAAGGGTCTTGAAGGTATTCAATAGAAGACCTCTAGGCAATCATAATTCACTCTGATTTGAAAAACAAAAAGCTGAAACGATTTAGAGTTCTTGCTCTAGTTTATCTGTAAGGCTGCATGCCTAACAGAAGGCCTACATCTTTCCTTATAACTTTGACATGAAGTAACTTTGAAAGCATATTTAATTAATGTAAAACGTCAGCATAATAATAAAATACTTTTAATGAGAGGGGCATCAGAGTCTGACAACTTCACTTCACTTTACTAAGGGAAGGAGGCCCACGGAGGTCACACAAGTTTCCCTCTATCACACTGCCTAGTGGAGAGACAGACCTGAACACTGACTTTGGGTTCTGTTAAGTGATCTCCTCATTTGTGCCATTGCACCCTCCTGGCTGGACTGGCTATTAAAAAACTGCCTAGAACTTATATAACATTTCACCCTACTCTGGCATGATTAAAAGCTATAGGCGACTGGGCCCAAGGGCCACTGATGATATTAAACTTCAAAAATTGATTGATGGCATGAAAGATTGTATGAGATTCAATTAATTTCAGCTCTCCTGAGTAAATACTAATTGTGAAAATTGCATAATTTTATTTTCTTTGCTTACTAATGTGCTACTCAGTCTCATCACTTCAGCCTGGGCAATCCAAGCATAGGTCCACACTGGTTGCAACTTCTTTCTATTTTATACCAGAAAATATATTTATGAGACCCTCTGCCCCCAGCTAGGGCCTGTTTTATTATATTTTGATGCTTCTTGTTCAATTAGACATTTTGGTAATAGGTGTGGTCTGGAAATATTTTTATGTGGAATATAGTTTTATGGATCTATCTTATCTCACCTTTGTCTTCCCCCTGCCCCAGATATTTAACTGCAGAAGACTAAAATGATGCATTCTTTTATTTGTATTTCCTCTACTTCTCAATTCTGATGCCCCAAAGGGACCAAATTTAGAAGCAGCAGCTTGTAGTAGTAGTCAATGTAACCAAGTGCAAGACATTGGTTCTCCTAACCAAATAAGCAGAAACACAGATACCTGTGAGCCTTCATCATAGCCCTGCTCTGGGATTCAGATGGGGTGGGAAAGCACTGTAGTTCTACAGCAAAAGGAATTAACAACTAAGGTGAACAATTACATAAGCATCCATAAAATAGAGGCGTTTTGTCCAAAGTTTTTTGCAGCTGCGTAAGAAAAGAAAGAAAAAGAAGAAAAGAAAAACAGAAATAAACCCCCAAACGAGTCACTGACTTTTACTTGGGCCATACCAGGCAAAAAACCCCACAACACAACATAACAAAAAAACCAGCCACACATTCTTTTTTATAGAATCTCCTCCAAGAACATTTCTACAGCAGGTTACTACAGTCCCTAATGTGATCAGCCCTTGACATAGTCTCTCCCACTATTGACTGTGCACCTTGAGGTTCCAGGAGGCACAGCGACTTCAGATGTCACAACGGTTTGTCCTAAAATCTCCCAAACTAAACTTCCAGTCACTGCCTTTCTTCAACCGTGCTTTTAGGTGTTGTGGAGACCTCAGTTCAAAGCCCATGAAATGGAGGCAGGAATAGGAAAGCTGAAGAAAATGCCTAAATCTCCCAGGACTTTGGAGAATTAGGTGGTAGGATTGCCCTGCATAGGTATCATCATCCTAGGGGGAAAAGAAATTCCTGGCCAGGAATTTCACCCGGAGCAACAGGGCCTTGAGAGTCAAAAAACAAAAAACAAAAAAACAAAAAAACAAAAAAACCCCACAGAAATTGCTGCCATCCTGACCCTCAAAAATGGAACTGAAAAGAGACACCAGAGAGATGTTGGGTTGTTAAGGGGTACGTGGGAATATCCCATGTTTTGCTGCTTTTTCTCCTGGGCAAGGTAGGCTGCCAGGGCCACTCTGGGTTGGGTCCGTGGGCTTCAGGAGGTTGCAGAGAAAGCTTCCTGAGCCTCGTCAGGGAACCACTGGCTAATTGCAAAGGCTGTACTTGTTGCTCAGTAAAGCAGGGTTATGGAATAATGACCCATCCCTGTCCCTGTCTAGAGTTTTAGTGTTTTGTTCATTGTAGATTTTTCTTGCACTAATTTTGATTTTTTTATACTGTTGCATTCAGATGTTATTTATTTGGTATTCTTAGGTTTATACCTTAAATTTTGAGCCATCCTAATTGTGACTCTCTATATAATTTAGAGGAACTGGGAAGTTTAAATTAGATTTAATCAAGGAAGTATTTTGTTTGGAGCAAAGCACACAAACCCGATTACTTACTGGGTGAGTTCAAGAGTAGGCTTTTTTGAAAAAGAATTGCTGATGATGGTGGATTCCACTCACAAATCTGTCCTGGCCTGTTCTGTAGCACCTTGTACATGTCTAGATTGTGCTCCTTAACAGGGTGAAATTTACAGATCATGTTCTCCAAGTGTGAAAGTCTGTGAAATTTGTGAAATTATTGAAGAGAGCTCTCTTGTCAATTAAATAGTGGTAACAACAAATGATCTCTATTTTGATTACATATGACTAACATGATCAATGGAAGCTACCTCTAAACTACTAAGTGAAAGTAATAGGACAGTTATTATAGATGTTTGAATTTTTCATAATTTTAAAATTAGACATAACTAAATATATAAAGGACTGAAGTAGATGAACATTGATATTCTTTCTAATTTTAAAATTCAACAATTTTTATTTAGTGATTATTAGGATCTAATAATCTAACAATGGATGCTGACTCTAGTGTGGAGCAAGGAGAGTTAAATGAAGTGTTCTTTGTGTTTGTCATCATTATTGCACTACAGATACTATTTTTCTACTGTTCCATTTGGAATAAGAGTAAACAGCATTTTCACATGGGGTAGGGAAGTAAGGCAGGAAGTAAATAATTCATCGGAAATAGGGCGATAGTTGCTTATTTGTCTAACAATACAGAACCATTCGAATAATGTTGTTTGTTTTCTGTTTGCTGCAGAAGAAAGTCTTCCAGGCTTATAAAAAGGAGTTTGTTTTTTAATCCTAGCTCTGCCCCCAGAAACTTTTAAGACCTGGGTAATGATAAACTTTCTTATGGATCACATTATAATTTCCAGACTGAGTCTATCATTTCTTTAATATAATTTAAATTCTGTATTGTAATTTACTTAAGTTTTTGTTGTTGTTCATAGGTTCAAGAGGTGCTCCAATTTTCTGTTATGATGAAATTAATACCAGAGGAGACAAGTTTGGAAACTGTGGCACTGCATATTGTTTGTTTCAGTATGTATTTAGAAAATTATAAATCTGTTTGGAATGTAGGTTAGAGATTGCTAAAATCTAGGAAATATATTCTATGCAGTCAAATCGAATGTTGGGGGTCAGGTTTTCTTCATTACATAATCTGAGCTGGACAATATTATCCACTGCCTACAAGAACATGTGTTTGGTGCCTATAATGTTAAAACAACAATGACCATAAAAATGGCCTCTGTTTATTGTTGTGATGAGCTAGACATTGTTATGCAGCTTATATATATTATACATTTATAATACAGGTTATAAATATACAACTTACCTACATCAAATGTATATAAGAATTACTTATCTCATTTACTATTGAAAAAACTGGAGACCAGAGATCATTTTCTCAAATTTCAGCAGCTATTGTGGAACAGATCACAGCTGTCATAGTGTAAAAACCATCAGTTTTTCACTTGCCAGTTTGCCTCGTGAAACAAAAAAGAATCATAACATGTCATTGTGCAACAAAAAAGTACTGAGAGAAAATTGGATTTAAATTAGTAAATCACTTTTTAAAAATTTCACTATATCAGCATCCTGTGTTATCTCAATAAACAATAAGGTAATTTTTTTCTTCCTTGTGCTTCTAGACATATTCTATGTGGAAAATTAGTCTGTACATGGGAACACAAAGACTTAATATCACGTCCAAATTTATCTGTGATTTATGCACATGTACGAGACCAAACATGTGTGTCTACGTATCTACCCAGTAGGAAGCCACCTCCAGTAGCTTCAAGTGTTTCAATCACATCATATTATTCAGTTGATGACAGAGATGAAACATTTGTACAAGATGGTTCCATGTGTGGTCCTGATATGGTAATTAGAAATACAAAAATTAAAGTGTTTTAAAATTATTTTTCTGGTTATACTCATTTTGACAATATACTAACCAATGCATTTTCTTCCATTTTTTCTTGTGGTAAAATGCACGTAATATAAAAATTGCCATTTTAACCTTTTAAAGTGTACAATTCAGTGGTATTATATACATTCATAATGCTGTAAAACCATCACCACCCTCTATCTTCATAAATCTTTTCATTTTGTAAAACTGAAACTCATTTCATTAAACAATTACTCCCCATTCCTACCTCCCCTGATCCCCTGAAAAACCACCATTCTACTTTCTGACTCTATAAATTTGACTACTATAGGTATCTGACATAAGAGGAATAATATAGTATTTTTCTTTATGTGACTGGCTTATTTCACTTAGCATAAGACCCTTAAGTTTCAGCTATACTGTAGTATGTCAGAATTTCCTTCATTTTTAAAGCTGACTACAATTCCGTTGTATGTACATTCTGCATTTTATCTATACATCTGTTGATGAACATTTGTGATCATTCCATGTTTTAGCTATTATAAACACTGCCACTATAATCATGGCAGTATAAATATATCTTCAAAACTGTGCTTTCCATTTCTGGGGGTATATACCTGGAAGTAGAATTGCTGGATCACATGGTAGTTCTATTTTTAAATTTTTGAGGAACTGCTGTACCGTCTTCCACAGTGGCTATACCATTTTACATTTCTACTAGCCATGCATAATGGTTCTAGTTTCTCCACATTCTGACCAATACTTACTTTCTGTTTTTTTTCTTTTTTCGATAGTAGCCGTACTATCAAGTGGTATCTCACTGTAATTTTGATTTGCATTTCCCTAATGATTTGTGATTTTGAGCAGCTTTTCTTGTGCTTATTGACCATTTGTATATCTTCTTTAGGGAAATGTCTATTTAAATGCTATTCCTATTTTTAAATCATCTTTCTTTGTTGTTTAGTTTTAAGAATTCTCTATATATTTTGGATATTACTCTCTTATGATATGATTTTAAAATATTTTCTTTCATTCTTTGAGTTGCCTTTTTACTCTGTTTATAGTGTCTTTTAATGCACAATTTAAAAACAATTATAAAATCCAATTAGTCTATTTTTTCTTTTGTTGCATGTACTTTTGGTGTCATAGCCAATAAATCACTGGCTTTTGCCCTATATTTTATTCTAAGAGTATTATAGTTTTAAGGTCTTATGTTTACCTATAGAATCCATTTCAAGTTCATTTTTGTATGTGGTGTTAGGTAAAGGTTCAGTTTTATTCTTTTGTGTATGGACATCTAGTTTCTCCAGCACAATTTGTTGCAATGATTGTCCTCTCTCCATTGAATGGTCTCAGCACCCTTGTAAAAATTCAGTAGTATCTTTTGACCATATATGCAAGCATTTGTTTATGGGCTGTTTATTCTATTCCATTGGTAATATATTAGTCTTTATGCCAGTACCACAATGTTTTCATTCCTGTAGCTTCCTAGTAAGTTTTGAAATTGAGAAATGTGACTCTTTTAGCTTTGTTCTTCTTTTTCAAGATTATTTTTGGGGTTCCTTGAGATTCTCTATGAATTTTAGTATAAATTTTTCCATTTCTGCAAAAATATTGGAATTTTTATAGTAATTGTATTGAATCTGTAGATCACTTTAGTATGGACATCTTAAACTGCCTTGTTAAATTAATTCTTTAAGTACTTTGCTTTAAGTACTTTTTGATGCTATCATAAATGGAAATGTGTTCAAAATATCCCTTTCAGAGTGTTCATTGTTACTGTATAGAAATGAAGCCAGTTTTTGTATGTTGATTTTGTATTTTGCCACTTTGCTGAATACATTGTTAATTCTAACAGCTTGGTGTAATCCTTAGAGTTTTCTACCTGTAAAATTATGTCCTCTGGAAACAGAAAAGTTTTAATTGTTCCTTTCCAATTTGGATGCCTTTTATTTCTTTTTCTTGCCTAATATCTCTGACTAGAACTTCCAGTACAATGTTGAAGAGAAGTGGTGAAAGGAAGTATCCTTGCCCTGTTCCTGATCTTAGAGGAGAAGCTTTAAAGTCGTATCATTAAGTATAATGTCAGCTGTGGGGTTTTTATATATGGATTTTTATCATGTTGAGGTAGTTTTCTTCTACTTCATGACTGAGTGTACTTAGGGTGTTTGTGCCATGAAAGGTGTTGAATTTTGTTAAAACCTTTTCTTTATCAATTAAGATGATCATTTTGTTTTTCTCCTTCATTCTATTAATGTGGTTATTACATTGGTCAGTTATCAGACATTGAACCATCCTTGCATTCCAGAAATCGCAGTTGATCATAGTGTGTACTCCTAATATAGCGCAGTTTGCCAGCATTTTACTGAGGATTCTGCATCTATGTTCATAATGGCTATTGGTCTGTATTTTTTCTTTATAGTGTATTTTTCTGGCTTTGATATCAGGATAATGCTGTCCTTATAAAATGAGTTAGAAGATGTTTCCTCTTCTTCATGTTTTTGGAAAAATTTGAGAAGAACTGGTGTTAATTCTTCTTTACATATTTGAAGCCATTACGTCCAGAAATTTTCTTCATAGGAAGGTTTATGATTATTAATTAATTAATTAATTAATTGAATTATTAATTAAATCTCCTTATGAGTTAGGAGTCTGTTCAGGTTTTTAAGTTCTTCATAGTGTTGATAGGTTTCGTGTTTCTATTAATTTGTCAGTTTTATCAAGCTAATCCAGTTCATTGGTAAACAATTGGTCTTGGTATTCTTATAATCCTTTCTATTTCTGTAGAATTGGTAGTAATGTTCTCACTTTTATTCCTGACTTTAGTAATTTGTGTTTTCTGTCTTTATTAGTATGTCTAGATAAAGGTTTGTCAATTTTGTTCATCTTTTCAAAGAACCAATTTTTGGTTTCATTAACTTTATTGTTTTACTCTGTATTTTATCTCTGCTTTACTCTTTATTTTCTTCCTTCTGCTAGAATTTAGTTTATTTTGTTTTGTTTTTTTTTCTATTTCCTTAAGTTGTAAAGTTAGGTTGTTGATTTTAAATTTTTCTTCTTTTTTATGTAGCATTTATGCTAATAAGTTTTCCCCCTAGAACTTCTTTCACTGCATTCCATAAATTTTGGAATATTGAGTTTATATTTCTATTTGTTTGTAAGTGTTTTTTAATTTCCTTAGTGATTCTTTCTTTGTTTCACTGGTTCCTTAAGAGTGTTTTGTTTAATTTCTATAGCTTTGTGAAGTTTACAGTTATACTTAGATTATTTTTCCAGATTTTTAATTTACTTTTTTATTAGAAATTATTATTCTAAATTTTTGATAAATTAAATAATTTATTTTTAAATTTTTATAGATTCAGGGAGGTACATGTGCAGGTATTGGTGAAGTTTTGACATCTAGTGTGCCTGTCACCTGAATAATGAACATTGTCTCCAGTCAGTTATTTTTCAACCCTAACCCCTTGATTTTTCCCCACTTTTGGGGCTCCTGGTGCCTATTATTTCCATCATTATGTCCATGTGTACCCATTTTTAGCTTTCACTTATAAGTGAGAACACATGGTATTTGATTTTCAGTTTCTGAGTTAGTTCATATATATGATAATGGTGTCTACCTTTATCCATATTGCTGTACTGCATGGGACATGATTTAATTATTTTTATTGCTATATAATAATTAATGTATTATATATCTTTATATATCTAGATATATAATTCATTTATTATATATAATAATATATAATAAATTAACATATATTGGTATAATATAAAATATATTATATATAACATATTTTGTAATTTTGTATATATTATATTAATGTATAATAAATGAATTATATAATTCATATATAATAAATTCAGAATAAATTCATATATAATCATATATAATAAATGAATTATATACCTAGATATATAGATATATAATACATGAATTACTACACAGTAATATATATAACATAAATACATAAATAATATGTAACAAATTCATTTAAGTATAATATATGATAAATGCATTTATTAGATATATATAATATAATTAATATAATTTATTATTTATAATGAATTCTTATATATAATAAATGAATTATATATCTAGATATATAAAGATTTTTATAAAAGATATTTATATATAAAAGATAAAGATATATATCTAGATATATAAAGATATTGATAAATTTAGATAAATAATTCATTTATTTATTTAATTTTATTTTATTTTTTATTTTTATTTTTATTTTTATTTTTTTGAGACGGAGTCTCGCTCTGTCGCCCGGGCTGGAGTGCAGTGGCCGGATCTCAGCTCACTGCAAGCTCCGCCTCCCAGGTTTACGCCATTCTCCTGCCTCAGCCTCCTGAATAGCTGGGACTCAGGCGTCCGCCACCTCGCCCGGCTAGTTTTTTGTATTTTTTTAGTAGAGATGGGGTTTCACCGTGTTAGCCAGGATGGTCTCGATCTCCTGACCTCGTGATCCGCCCGTCTCGGCCTCCCAGAGTGCTGGGATTACAGGCTTGAGCCACCGCACCCGGCCAATAATTCATTTATTATATATTATATAGTATATAATTAATTATATACTATATAATAAATGAATTATATATCTGTGTTATGTTTATACATGAATTATATATATGTGTTACCTTTTCTCCACATGAATTATGTATATGTGTTACCTTTTCTTCACATATATATAATTATATATGTGTTATGTTTTATCCACATTCTCACCAACATCTATTGTTTTTAGACTTTTTAAGAATAACCATTCTGAGGCCTGGCATGGTGGTGCACACCTGTAGTCTCAGCACTTTGGGAGGCTGACGAAAGTGGATCATGAGTTCAGGAGATCGAGACCTTCCTGGCTAACACAGTGAAACCCTATCTCTACTAAAAATACAAAAAAATTAGCCGGGCGTGGTGGCGGGTGCCTGTAGTCCCAGCTACTTGGGAGGCTGAGACAGAGGAATGGCATGAACCCTGGAAGTGGAGCTT